AGAACGCCGACTTCCACCCGGACACGAGTAATGATTCGTGGGGTCCAAAATGGCCAGGATTTGGTCCTCCAAAACCAGATTGGGCTTGCGAGGCGTCAAAAAAACACGGTTTTTACGGAGTTTTTTGCTCCGAGAATGTTCAAAAAACACGAAAACACCACCTATTTGACAATTTTTCGGCTTTACCTTGTTGGTGGTTCTTGACGGTTTTCATCGGGTTTCAAATGCCGAAGCACTGTAATTTACGGTGTTTTTGCGCGTTTGGCCTGGCAAAAGTACGTCTTGCAACATGCTGAAAACTGCGTAAATACCACTGTTTTTGCTAGGTGCTGGCCATAAAACACAGTAAACACCGTGGTTTTTGCTTCCAGGAGCAAAAAAAACACCGCAACTACCGTGGTTTTGGGCTTGCGAGGCGTCAAAAAACACGTTTTTTTTCTTCCCAAAAGCGAAATGCAATAGCCGGCCGAATGGCCGCCAAATGGCAGAAAATTGCTTCCAACAGGTTTCTGCTCTGGATCTTGGATCTGGCTCCAAAGGGCTCCTGGCCAGGATTTGGCCTAAAACGGCCGTTTCCCCTTGAGCCCAGAAGGCACTTTTCGTTGCCGGCCCGCAAGCCGCGAAAGTCTTAAAAGCTGGCTCCAAAAGGCTTCGGCCAGGATTTGGCTAAAAATGGCCGTTTCCCCTTGATCCCAGAAGGCCCTTTTAGTTGCCGGCCCGCAAGCCGCGAAAGTCCCACAAGCTGGCTCCAAAAGGCTCCGGGCTTGCGAGGCGTCAAAAAACACCGTTTTTTTTTTCGGAGTTTTTTGCTCCGAGACTGTTCAAAAAACACGAAAACACCAACTATTTGACCATTTTTCGGCTTTACAAATGAAGGTAAAAAAAACATGCCGCAACGTCTCTGTGTGAAGATGTTTCTATGTAAAAGCGTCTCTGTGTAAAAGCGTTTCTCTGTAGATATATCTGTGTGTACAAGGGTCTGTGTGTACAAGCTTCTGTGTGTAAAAGGGTCTCTGTGTAAAAGCTTCTGTGTGTAAAAGCCTCTGTGTGTCAAAGCGTATGTATGTAAAAGTGTTTGTGTGTAAAAGCGTATGTGTGTAAAAGGGTCTGTTTGCAACATTCTGTGTATGCGTAAAAGGGTCCGTGTGTAAAAAGGTTCGTGTTTAAAAGTGTCTGTGTGTAAAAAGATCTGCGTGTAAAAGCATTTCTGTGTCAAGATGCTTGTGTGTCCAACAGTCTGTGTGCTACTACGATTCTGTGTAAAAGCCTTTCGGTGTAAAGATGTTTGTGTGTAAAAAGGTCTGTATGTAAAAGCCTCTGTGTGTAAAAGCGTATGTGTGTAAAAGTGTTTGTGTGTAAAAGCGCCTGTGTGTAAAAGGGTCTGTGTGCAACATTTTGTGTATGCGTCAAAGGGTCGGTGTGTAAAAAGGTTTCTGTTTAAAAGTGTCTGTGTGTAAAAAGGTCTCTGTGTAAAAGCATTTCTGTGTCAAGATGTTTGTGTGTCAAAAAGTGTCTGTGCGAAAAAAGCGTCTATGTCTCACGGCGTCTGTGTGTGCAAGGGTCTGTGTGTCAAAGGGTCTATGTGTAAAAGCGTCTGTGTGTAAAGCTGTCCCTGCGTGCACGGGTCTGTGTGTAAAAGCGTCTGTGTGTCTGTGTGAAGCTGTTTGTCTGTAAAAGCGTCTCTGTGTCAACG